GCAGAGCATAATTTACCATCAGACATAAATAGTCTAAGTAAATGCAAAAAGCAACTCTTTTGCTTTGCTTTGTGCTTGACCAAATTTTGGGAGAAAAAAATAAAATCTGTCCGAAAACCAATAGCAACAGGAGGCCAAAAGCAACATATTCTGTCACGACTGAAAGAATTTTCAGGAAAAAAAAAAAACATTTTTAAGCTTTCTTTATAGAGATCCCTCTATCTGGTGACATCTTTAGGAATCATTCTGAATCCCAAGGCATTCCCAGGTTCTTTGGGAAGAAGAAACTCCAAACAGGGATCCTGGAGGCATTTTAATCAGATGTCCAAAGCACTTCAACTAACCTCTTTTCATGCGAGGAAGTAGCAGCTTGGATGACAGAGTTTCTCAATGGCTCATTTGAGCCATTTGTTCTTTTGATCAACTACAGCTGAGGGTCAGAAGGTAAAATGAGAGCTTTGCTTTTTGCCTCAGTGGTTTTAATTTCTAGGAAATTGTTACAACCAGCGGGGGGGAAAAAAAAAAAAGTACGTTTGGAAGCTAAAATAAGAACCTAATCTGCGAACTCTGTTATAGAGTCAGACAGAAATAAAACTGAGGCTGCCAGGAATCTGGTCATGAGTTCAGCAGAAGATCTCTAGCAAATACCTAGAAATCACATTTGAAATGCTGTAATCTAAACCACCAACAAAGTAGCAGCCAGAGATTTTTTTTTTCTTTTTCTTTTTTTATAGGAGGCTGTTGCGTTTCGCTTTGAATTTCCCATAATGGAATCACCTCTATTGAAGCACACATCACGGCGTCCCCTCTTTCTCACTAACCCACGTGGGATTACTGCTTCCAGATTTAGATGCCAACTCCCTCATTTCTGCCCTCTGCGCGTGCCGTAACCTGAAACTCGTCGACCTGAGCGAGTGTCCTCCAGTGGGCCATTCAGGTCCAGACTCAGACTAATCCCCGCTGCGCTTATAGCGGTCCAGGTGTGCTCGTGTGTTGACTGACCAGAACTGCAGCACTGCTCCGGACATCACATGTAACTAGAAAAGCAGGGAGGTTTCGGAGAAGCCGATGGTGATGTACCAATTGGGAGTGGAGGGTGGTATTTCTTGCAAGATCTGTCAGTTTAAGATGGCAAATACAAGAGCTGTCCCATTGCCTTGTAATATATTTTTAAAAAGCGTTGAGCAAGAAGTCACACTGACCTTTAAAAGCACAGACTGGATTTTTCACAGCTCATATTTTTAGAAGTTAAAGTCCCAAACAACCTGCCTCTTACTTCCATCAACAATCTCAGCAGAGCTTTAAAGAATCTACAGCTGGATTTTCTGCAGATAGATTAGCTTTACCAAAGGACCATTGTTACAAAATTTGTCTTATCCTTGGCTCTTCCTTCATTGTCTCTGTCCTCCTTTTCTGCCTGAAAAACAGAGCAAAAAGATACAGAGGAATTCCTGAACATCGGTAAAAGTGGGGAAATCAATATATTTTAAATATAGACTCTCAGAACTGGAAACAAGTTTGAATATTTAGAATGTGGCTATTTTTAAGTTGTACAACTTGTACAACTTTTTCTTTTCAAACTGTAATCTGTTGCTCTTAATACTTGTAATAATTTGCATGTCCAAATTGAATAAATACTTTAAGCAATTGTAAAACAAAGGGTTTCACAAGGCAACCAGAATGCAATCAATTGATGCATAGCATTGTGTCCACACAAGAGACAAGCAGCAAAACAAAAAAGTCTTTGGTTTAAATGTGAAGGTTTAGAAAGTGTTTTATCCAGTGAGCAGAAGGAAGGCCACAAAAAACGCTATAAAAAGATTCTGCAATTAAGTCAAAGTGGCAAATGACTGCTAGTCACAAAATATTTGTCCAAAACATCAAACTCACGGCATCATTGAAGTTAGTTTTTAATCATTTCTGCTCTGTGAATTACCAGCACTAATGCTTTACTGCTCACGGGTGATGGCAGCACTCTCATTTTTCCAAACAACTTTCCACCACAAAACTTTATATCAGCAAAAGGCACCTGGTGGTTTTACAACTCTCACTTTTCTCCACATAAACGGTTCTTGTTTCATTTATAGGCTTACTTTAAACTAGAGTGATATAGATGTTAGATATTTTAAAAACAACATGTAAGAAACTAGTTCCAAAATAAAAATTTTGTTTTTCCCTAAAAACACTTCAACCGAGCATTTTCTTACATCAGTAACTTTTTGCTTGCAAACAACACCTACCACCTATAGGGTCTGAAGACATGTTTTACAGCTTCTCACAGGCTTCAAGACAGAGCTGTTACCATTTAGATATGGTTATACTTTCCTTTTTTATAGACTCTTATTTTATACATACTGATCTGCTTTACATACAGTGAAAAACTCTGTTGTCAATTATTCATGTTTCTTTTTCTTTTTTTTTCTGCATTTTTAAATTTAAAATATCATTTGACCTCGAATACTTTTGTTTGTTTGATTGTTTTTTAAGAACAGAGGGTAGTTTAATTGTTGCTATTCGTATCAACTATCATTTCACCAACTACATTATGTTCTCTTTGGCTTTTTAATCTGCCTGCATTTTTTATTTTATACTTGAGGTTAAAACTGTTATAGAGGATCAGAGCACAACATATTACTAACAATGTTAGCTTACTCAGTCAGGATACACATGAAACAGCTTAATTGACATGAGGGGTTTCTTTGAACTATTCACAAAACTTACAACAAAACAAGTTAAATAAGGACGGTATGAAACATGCGTATCGAACGTTGTTGCCTCAGTGGTGTGTGTGTGTGTTCGCTTGCATGTGACTGGCTGCTTTCCTGTCCCTGTTTTTGAAATGTTGTGTGCACAATGACCCCGTTGGAGGCAGGAAGCCAAAATACCTTCTTTTAATAACTGGGCCTATAAAAAGGGCTCAAAAACAAATATTAATGTAGTCAATAAAAACTAACCCTGTAACCCAAATGGTACACGACAAACCTGGTGCCAGTATGTGAAGGAGACATGTTTGATATACAAATTTCAGTCACTCTGCTTGTTTATAACTTTGTCAGATTGGCAATTTGACAAACCATAACGTTGGCTCTAAAGGACGACTTGGTCAGTCGGGGGTGCAGTCTGACTCTATGTTTAGCTAGAAGCGGCAACGTGTGAGACTTTCACTCCGCTATGCGACAAACAAGCAGAAGTTCGCATTTCTTTTGGTGAGTCCATCGCTGCCAAGTGCCACTGAAGACGCTGAAAGGTGCGTCAGGAATACCCGGGCATCGCCAAATAAGACACTGTACAACAGAACAGCTGCCTCAAGAACTCGCCCCACCAAACAGTCCGGTGTCAGCCCGCTTCAACCTGTTTTCACATGAAGCCTTCCCGGTCCTCAAGGTGAAAAAGCATTTGGCTGCAGCTACACAAAGACGGCATACTTGATTATCAAGTGGATCGCATTAAATCGACATTTCTCTACAACATTTTGGAAAAGAGGACTGTACATACAGCTCTGGAAAAATCTTAAGAGACCACTTAAAATGCTCACTTTCTCTGATTTTACTTTTTCATGTCTCTGAAATTCTAAGCAAAGATTTAGTTATTATTTGCAGAAAATGGGAAATGAGCAACATAACGAAAAAGATGCAGCACTTTCAGACCTAAAATAATGCAAAGAAAACAAGTTCATATTCATTTAGAAACATCAATACTGATGTTTTAACTCAGGAAGAGATCAGAAATCAATATTTGGTGAAATAACCAGGAGGTTTTCAATGGGGTTCAATGGACTCCTCATTTTTTTCAGAGATGCAGTATTTAGTACTTCCTAAAATACTAAGTACTAAAATACACTCTTGATGTTAAGGCCCTAGTAAAATGACAGTTGTTGTTTTGTTTTTTTTCTAAAAATTAGAGAATTATTTTAATGGCTTCCGAATTTCCTCTAACGTTAATGTGTCATATTTTTTTGTAATCATCAACAAAAAAAACAACATATCTATTAAAAAAAAAGATGCAAATAATGAAAAATCTGCTTTTACGTGAATGTATGCCCTGGAACTAATAGAAACTAATACTTTTCTTTAATTTCTGCACTTAGTATCAATTCTAGCATTTAGTTTTCTAGTGTACATACCAGCCATTAGTGATGGAAAATTATCATAGCTGTTAATACAGCTCAACTGTCCTGGTAGTTTTCACACTTACAGTGTAAAGATTGGAGCATTTGCACATTTTACATACAGTATGACGACAACTTATTTTTCCTCAGTTGTTAAAGGGACAGATTTACAAATTGAATTGTGCAGCAATATGTTATACACAAGTTCTTTGGAGCAATACGCCACAGGAAAGCAAATACAATTTTTACTGCAACTTCAAAACCTCTCCCCTGATCTCCAACAATAGTTTCTCACCGTGCTACACGTTCAAATCACCCAAATCCTCTTTCTTTCTAATTTTGATGCGTGGATTGAACTTCATGTTGTTTACTGGTCAAATAGTTACAACTTAACATGTCCTCAGAGTATTGCTGAAAGTTTGCCCAAGTCACGTCAGTGATACTTAAACCACAGTTTGAGAAGATGTAAAACATATCTTGTTTCTTGACCTCAGGTCACTGCATGTAATCATATCAAACAACATGTCCCTTTTAGATCATGTGTTGTTGTTTACTCCTGTACAGCTGCTCTGCAATCAGTTTTTTAATCATTCTGTTATTCTGTTTATCATGCATAAACAAAATAATTCAGTATTACTCCCTGCGTAGTGTAGCAGAGATGTTAGTTGTAGTTGTTTAGTTGTTTATATCAGCACTCTAGGTCTGTTTGGCTCAGGAAAAGCTAAGTGAGCTTTGAGGCTGTCAACATTTTTATGATCTAGGGGCGGTTACAGTGTCGGTGGGCATGTGACCCAAGTGGGTGGGGCCTGCCATGGGTCCCTCATTTCTAAGCTGAAGTCATTGGATTTTAAGCCCTAAAATAGCACTACAGAGCATATATAGGGATGCAGTCCCAGTGGCTCCATTAGACCACAGTTCTGTGCAAGAGTCGGCACGCTGTTTGACAAATTCTGATTGAAGGAGGCGAAATGAACCTTCGACTAGAGGACATACACTGCTAAAAAAAAAAAAAGAGAGAGAATCTGAAGATTTAAAAACTGTTGGTATTTTTTATAAGGGGGGAAAAAAAAAGGACGCATCGTAAAGGATACCGCTCTTTCCTTGGATTGTTCTGCCTTCTGGGATTTCCTATTTCCCTCCTTTTGATCTAGAAAGGAGGTGCGACATCCGCAAAGATGAAGTACAACTACCCAACACCGGTGTCCACCTACGCACGAAGTTCGCAGTACACACCGGTGTACCACTCACCTTCCTACTACAGCCCCTCGCCGCATTACACGCCGACATCCACGTACGCTGCTGTATCAAAGTACACCCCAACGACACAGGGTAGCACTTATTACTCCCCATCACTTTACACGTCCACCTACAAAGCTGCGTCGACGTACATCCCTTCGTACAGCAAGGTTTCAAGATATACCTCAACACGTCGCACTCAAGCGAAGGAAAGCCCTGCACCTGTAATACCTGTGGCACCTGCAAAGAGGACTGTGCACTTCCCCAATGACATCATCTTCCAGGACATCGTCAGGCGAGGGGATCTGGAGCAAATCGGACGCTTCATGAGAGCAAGGAAGGTCCGCGTGGACACACTGTTCCACTCTGGTGAGCGAAGTCTTTTTCTCTTCCCCTGGCAGGTGCTCATCTGCCCCTCTGGTCTTGGAAATTATATTTACTAGCAGAAGAGCGACGTGTATATCTAAATGTATGGGATTGATTTTTGCATATGTGCAGGTATGGCTGCTCTGCATGAAGCCGTACTAACGGGAAACCTGGAGGTGGTGAAGCTCCTGATTAAATATGGCGCCGATGTCCACCAGAGAGACGAGGACGGCTGGACACCACTGCACATGGCCTGCAGTGACGGCTACCCGGAAATTGCCAGGTAATATCCTCACGTTCCCATGTCAACTATTTGGATGTGCAACAATTAAATCTTCCTATGATTAAATTCCTCTGAGGCGAGAAACTCATTGCTTATTTCTGCTTCTGCGCCGAATTTACAGAAACAAGGCCACACAGAGAGCTACTCGAATCTAGAAATGCATTTAGAAAGATCGCAAAAATCTCTTGTTTGATTTTTGTAAAACTATTTTTCTGCTCGTTCTAGGTATCTCCTGTCAATGGGAGCAAGCACAGAAGCGGAGAACGAAAGCGGAGAAAAGCCCGCAGACCTCATTGACCCAGACTGCAAAGAGCTGGCTAAACTGTTTGAGACAGGCTGTGTGTGAGAACAAATGGACCCGAGGGAGAGAAAAGGCTTAAATGTAGTAAAAATAAAACGAGTAGCAACACCGATGAAGCATTTCTCTGTGGCTTGTGCAATGCCTCCGGTCTTGGAAAGCAACATTTTCAGAAGTGCAAATCGTCTCAGAAGGTTATTCAGTTTCTAAAATGTCATCTTATGCAACACACACCTTATTGCAGTTGAGTATTGTATCTTAGTTCATTGTAAAATTATGACATATTTCTAATAACTGTCATATCAGAGCTGTAAATAAGATTGTGTGGCTGTCTGTTATGTGACTCAGTGCATGTCCTTCAACCTGAATCTCTTTCCTTCTAAATTCTAGTTCAAAATTAATAATGTGTTCATTTTTGGAGAATGAACACAGAGTTTTTCTGTTAAAATCTTTTATCACTTGTGTTTGTGCTAGCCTATACGCAGGCTGTAAACTGTGTCCTCTCAAATCATGGCTCAATCTACACAAGAATCTGAACTGATAAAGTGTTTTGTACAACATTGTGCACCCTCACTGCTGGGCAGAAAGAGGATCGATCAGATTGGTACAACCTACTTGTATGTTGTTCAGAAAGCTTAAAAATGCAGGTCTTGTTTTGTGAAAGCTCTTGCACCTCCACAGCATTTTGACAAATGTATTTCACTGTTATTTGTTGTAAAAAGACAGAAAATTTGAAGTCTTATAATTTTCAGTACAATTATTATTTTTGTACTTTTTATAAATAAAGGACTTGTTACAAATAAAAGGCTGTAGCAGTTTTATTATGGAAAGCAACAATGAACCTCGAAAAACTGAAGCAATAAAATTATAGTTGATGGTCCAGTTGCTGGCTCTTAATGTCCAAATTGTCCTTGGGAAGGACCGGAAACCTCAGAGTGGATTTCAAGAAACATGAGATGGTCAGAGTATAAAAAAAGCACTATGTGCATGTGTGAACGACTGTGTGAATATGTCTGTCACTGTACAACACAGAGTAGTCAACAGTTTTAGTGAAAAGGACATGAAAACAAATTAAGTTTGCATAAAAACATGTTGAGAGTTTGTGTCCTGTTAAGGTTTCTCAATGGAAACGGAGGTATGGTAATGTAAAGAAAAAATTAAAAAAAGAAAACCTAACTTTAACCTTTTAAGATAAAAAAAAATGTGAAAAAGAATGATAAGAAGAAGAAGAATTTTGTTTTTATGTTTGTACTTGGTTTATTTATTATTGTTTTTTTTAGAATTTTATTAGTTGTTTTGAAAGTCTTTCGTATCTCTTCCGCATCTCTTCCCGGAAGTGATTGGTTGGCATTGGCAACGATTTTTTAGCTACATCTTTTGGCGTACTAAGTCTTTGAATAAAGAAATAAAGGAAAGAAATCAACGAAGGTTTGTTGTTTATCTTAACGCTTATTTAAAGGACAGCATGAACGTATTGTTATGGCGAGCTTGCCCTAATAAACGAGTTACCAGTAATAACTCAGACATATTAGCTGGAACAAGCTAACAATGTAAATCGCTAACGAGTTAGCTGCAAGGCTACTGTTAGCTTGGTAAAATGACTATGTTTGAAATGTTTTGGTTGCACCCCATATGATAACAGCATGGCGACGCGTATGCCAGAAAACAGTATTAGTTATGTTTAGTTTTGTCAAAATTTTGTGATAATTTCTCTGTTACCAACAGCTAACATCATTGAAGCTACTCGAGTCAAAACGTAAACAAAAGCTTATTTTTTAGCTAACCCCTTACGTTGCAGACATATTGTTCAGTATAGATTTAAATAAAACACTCCACTGTGTCAGCCATTAAATACTTCTGCTGTGTTTATCTTATATATATTATATAATCTAATTTATTTAAGATGATTAGCTAGCAAGGAGCTGTTAACTCTGGCTGCAAGCTAGTATACCTGTCGGATTTGATCAAAAGAAATTGCTTGTATTGTATGCAAAACTAAAATGAATGTCCAGTATTATGATAAAATACTTACAATGGTTCTGTTGGGCTTTAAGTTTAGGACTTCGAGTTGTTGCAACCCTCTAAATCCACTCACCACAGAGGAGCAAGGAGCGAGTACAGACTGCAAACAGAATGACCAGGTCTGAAAAACGTTATGGTAGTAGTCAAGTGCTTGATAGTCAACTGTACTTAAAGTGTAGTTTGCTGCTTAGTTGCTGATTTTATTCTTTGTATATGTGTGAAGCTCATCTGCTCCCAGGATGGTGAATAGTTACAAGAGGACCTCAAGCCCCAGATCTCCGACTAACAGTGGGGAGCTGTTTACTCCAGCACATGAGGAGAATGTGCGCTTTATACATGATAGTAAGTACTGTGTTCTACAATTTTGTATCAAAATCATATATATATATTTTTATCTTGGCACTAAAGTTGAATCGCATTGCCCGACAAAAATCTTGGTCGGACCTTCTTGCAACATATTGACATTTACAAAAACATCTTCTGGAAGTAAAGCGCCTTTTGAAATTTTAAATGTTTCAATCTGTATTTTTCTTTCAGCGTCTTTTTTTTTTTTTTTTTTTTTTACAGGCTGATGGGTTGATGTTGTTTCAAAATCTTACACACTTTAAAAAGGCTGCAAACTATTACGAACTAGCCAATTAGACATGTTTTTTGTTGTTGTTCTAGTTGAACCAATAGCTGTTTTGCTGTGAAGATAATTTGGAAAATGGTTTTAAATTTTGTGTTCAATGAACTATGAAACAGAACTTATTTCACAAACATTGAGTTGCTGCTCCTATATGCATATCTGTTTTCTATGTCCTTGGAACCAGTTCTTCTTGCTAAGAGGTAATTGAACCGTTGTCCATACAATATTTTTTTCCAACTTTTGGACTCAAGATTGTCACAGAAGTAAATTGATATTGCGTCTGGTGACCGCTTTGTGCTTTGATTTGTCCAAATGATTGGGATCCTTATCCCTAAAAGATCCATTGACACAATGTTTTCTGTGGAGGGATACTTTGCTTTCTACCAAGGTTTTGGGTAGAAAAACAGAAGATCATTGATTACTAATTAGAAGCTCTGATCATCCTAAAAATCATATATTTATTTTAAATGGATGGTTGGGGGGGATACCAATAATTGTGCCTCTGGGGATTTTGTTAAAATCATCTTATAACAGGTTTATTTTCCCAAATGAATAAATGTAGTAAATTTAAATGTATCAGTGTGTGATCATACCTCTCTAGTAAAGACTAATTTTATACATCTCTGCCAAATATGCAACTAAATATGGTGAATATTGTATAAAATTAATTTTCTTCTAACTATTTTACAATGTGTCCTTGTAAGTGGCTCTTTGGTGTAACAAATATTATCCTGTTCTCTTTATGTTTTTTTTCCTCCCAGCCTGGCAGTGTGTGCTCCGAGATATCAGATCAACACAAAATAGTGAACGCAATGACCGTGGACCACAGGAGTATGTGGAGAAAAACCCAAATCCTAACCTACATTGTAAGTTAACAGAATAAATTTTATATAAATATGCTTTTTAATGTCATTCGAAATGGTTTAAACCAGTCGACAGCTTTAACAACCTCTTTCCTGTCTGCTTTTCCAGCTTTCACACCAGTGGACCTGAGTGACCTAAAAAGGCGCAACACACAGGACTCCAAGAAGTCTTAGTTTTTTCTGTCATGTTCCTGTTACTTTTTTTTTAATTATTCATCCATTATCCTCAAGAACTTTTCATTTCTCTGCCCTCTGACAGCCAGAAACTTGACCCTGTTGGCAAGTCTAACAGAATACAAATCTCATTTGTATACGATGGACCATAGCAACCTGTTGTTTTTTTTTTTTTTCTTTCCGTTGACAATGACTAAAAAAAAAACTGGGGTTCTAAGAGGAACAGATTCTCCCTTCTCATCTTTTCAGGTATCAAAGTGTTCATATTGATGCTTGTGGTGTGGATGAGACTGCTCCGGGGGGATTCATCAAAATTTGCTGACAACTGTTGCTGAAGCACAGAGCAAAGCCCAACAGGACACAAAGACTGAAGTCTTAAACAACAGTAAAACTACTTAGATATGTTTGGAAGAAATTGTAAAGGGGATCACTTCTTTTCTGTTTCATTCCGGAAAATAGATTGATAAATTGTGAAACGACCACATTTGAAAACATGTCATGGGCAAGTATTGGAAGCCAAAATACAATGTTGAAGGCCAACCTTTTGATTAAACCACCTCTTGCCCTTGGTGGATTTAACTTTACAGCCCTTAGTTAACCTCTCTGCTCAAAGCCTTGAAACAAAAATGTTGAATAAAATACTTTTACAGTAGCTTTGCATCTATTGATCCTGCATAAATATTGATAAGTTGTAGTCCCATGTCACTGAATTACATTTTTGACTGTAAATTTAAATTTGGATTACATGAAGGCGAGGTTAAAATTAAAGACTGAATTTTGTTTGTAGGACATCTGTAATTTCAAGCCCAGTGATATATATTAGCAAGATTGCACTGTTCTATTTAAGCTCTGTAAACAGACTGATGGATCTGGAGATTGGAGATGACAGGAAGGTGTAAATATTTAGGTGATTTGTGACTAAATTTTTAGAGCTGTAACAAAAGTTATTCAATTTGGCTTATTAAGTGTAAAAATGGCAACTTTCCTTACTGAGTCTTCAAAAATGTGCATGAATGAAAAAGGTCTCCTACAAAAATATTCACTCATTTTGTAATGCAACAACTGCAAGCAGTATTTTATTGAGATTTTCTTACAAACAATGAACTGGGAGGTTATGTGCAGTGACCGGCTTCTCTGCGTTTTTTATGGAAGTGGTGCATTATGGATTGTGTGTTTTGCACTACTAGGTATGCTGGTCAAAACGTAATTTATATCCCATTTAACATGACTTCTGGTACAACGATATCTCATGGTTTTCTTTCGATATCACTCTTCCATAGAGAAGAGTCAGGTAGTCAGGCTAAATGCACTTAACCAGACAGAAGAGGGCGCGTTTTCCCTTTACGTTGATGGACGTGTTGACGTCGGAATATACGTGTTACGTAATGAGGCTGTTTATATTGTGTGGCCGTTAGCTTATTGTGT